ATACAAATCTTACGAGGTTATAATTTCATTGGATAGGTCACTGGTTAGGCCACATTTGGAATATTGTGTTTAGCCTTGGGCTCCTTACCTTAGGAAAGACATTGAATTGTTGGAATCGGTTCAAAGAAGGGTTACTAGAATGGTGCCTGGGATGGAGGGGTTGTCATATGAGGAGAATATGAAATCTCTCAAATTATTTTCTTTTGAAAAAAAGAAGGGTTAGGGAACATCTGATTGAGGTGTTTAAGATTGTGAATGGAATTGATAGTGTTGATGCATCATCATTTTTCACACTTAACAGTTAGAATAGTAGGACTAGGGGACAAAAGTATAAATTTTGGCAGGGTAGGAGTGATCTTCAGCTAAGACAGTTTTATTTTTTAACAAGGTGGTTGACCTTTGTTATTGGTTGCCTTCGGATGTTGTGGGGGCAGTGAATTTAAGAGTAAGCTTAATAAAAGACGGGCTTTAAGATTTTTCTTTTTTAATCTATTTTTTAATTGTTTTAGTTTAGTTTCGAGAATGAAACAGTCGAGATGGACCAGTAGATCTCATGTTGTTCCAAAATGTTATGTTATTATAACGCCCCCACGGGTGTAAGGACGAGCTATTCGTTAATAGCCCGCAACCCGGAGATTGCAATTCGAGCGCCCTAACCATCAGACCATATTATTAGCACACGTTACTCGTTTGAAAGGGTATATCATAAATTTGCCACAGTTACACTATACTAAGAACAAATATTATACCAAAATTTTAAGTTTTATCACTTAACATGTTTTTTTTTTGGAGGGGGGGAGGGGAAGTAGCTGATTAAAAATATATGTGTAATGTTGGTGAATTAGTGTTTGGTGTGAAAAGAAGCGCCAGCAGATGGCAGAATATTCTTAGAAATTGAGGCAATGTTTGACAAAACATTAAGAGTAATAGAGCAAAGCAGGCTTAAGACCTATGATTTTTAAATTCGTACAGTATTGGTAAGTAAGAGTTGATTAGTAATATGTGAAAGTAAACTATATATTAGATAATTATTATTTTGTCTTTAAGAGTATGAAGTAAGAATGTAACCTAAACTAAAGGCCGTTTTAATTAATATAACGTACTGTTACTTGCGGCGTTGGTAGCATACGTCATTATTGCAATAGGCCTAATTTGTAACATTACGGTAGTAGTACTAGTAGTAATGATTACTATACACCTTACCAACTAGCGAAGAGAATAAAGACAATTTTTATTGGGAAGTCTGTTGTTATTAATAGTTGTGCAACAATGTAATTTACTGAGAAATTTTAAAATACTTGTTTACTATAAATAATTTACTATTTAGTGATACGAAACGATAGGCCAAAGCCCAATTGAATAATTATACTCGGGTTCTACTAAATTATAAAATATATAACTTATAAGTACTATCATCATCACGCTGCCAATAAAAAAGTGTACAGCTCATTGCTTCAACAGAAATTGTTGTTGTTATTAAATAAAAACTATATGTTAAACAAAATTTTTTTTTCTGCACTATGACTCCTATTTCTAGTCTTCAGGTTTTGAGCTAGCCGTTCGTCTTAGCCAGGAATACTTATTTCTACTTATACATTGTATCTGTCCTTGTATGTCCATGCTGGGTTCAGTTTGTAGTTATGTATTCCTAAGGTCTAGTGCCTTTTTTGATTAATCCTAGTATCTACCTTTTGGATGCATTTATGATAATAGATGTGGATCTCTTATCCCAATATGTATCTCTTGAGGCTTCATGATTTGAAAGTGCTTGATTAACTGCAAATTGGTATGACTTATATTTTGTAGATAGTACAGGTTCTTAGACTTAGTTCTTGTAGAACATCACTAATTGAGGTCTGTTTATGAAAATAGTTTTCCTTTTATTGCTGGGAGTGATTGGTCTTGAACCATAATTTTTCCTTACTCTTGTCAAAGTGAAGATTTGTCTCTATTTTTTCAAATATCGTTTATACATCTGGTTACCTACCTTCTTTCTTGTTTCTTTCATGGTGAACTTTATAATCTGAAAAATAATTTTTTTGTATCTTTTATGTTTTTCTTACATCTTTGATCTATGTGTATTTATATGTGGGATATTCCCCTGGTTCTTAAGGCTCCAGTATTCATTTCTTTTGCAGTTCCTGCTTTTTTGTCTTGCTATGTTTGGGACATTGTCAATTATTTTTTGTGTTAGAGCAATTTTACATATTTCTGTAGTGCCACTAATATTTTTTCTATCTTATGTAAAATTAGAGAGACAGTTCTTATGAGTTATGACCTCTATTTCTTGTATTTTATTATTACATGTTATAATTTTTGAACATAAATTTTAGATAATGCAATGAAAATTTGGTTACTCTCTCTATTCCATGGTACAAATAAATAGAATTCATTTCTAATGTCTCTGTTTGTTACTTTCTCATATGATGAGAGTGTCTCAATTTCCAACTGTTATTATTGATTTTGGTTTTATTCCAAGATAAAGGTTGTTTCATTCTCTGACAATTGTGTTGTTTTAGAAGAGAAGCTTTTATTACAGCAGAAATGTGCATGTTAGCACTATGGCAGGTAGGAGATATGTGTTCATTTGGAGTAATTAGAGTTCTTAGTTGAGGATGATGGTTTATACCTCGTGTGTTATTTCACCGTGTCATAGGATTTTATGGCTTTAGTATTGTATCTGAATATGTTTACCTGTACTCTCCTTCACAGCTAAGTATTGTGGTCTCTATTTTTTATTTTTCCCCTGGATCTCAATAGTGTTTTAGCTTACACATTTTTGCAAGTCAAGATATAAGTTTGGATAATGGTCAATCTCTTATCTCGAAGATCACTGTCCACAAGATGTTAATACTTCCACTAACTGTCTTTTATTTGGCTTTGTACATGAATATTTTATTTCTTGATCAAAAAGTTAATTTTCCTGTTTAATTCTTCATCTTTCTTTCATTTTGTTTTTGTGTTTTTTTTAAAAGATAATTTATTGTACTCAAACTTTATATCATAAAAATAGAATTAAACTAAATGTTACCATTGTAGAGAGACATTTCCATCCATTTAGTGATTTTATAAGTACATTATCAAGGAAATTATATTTTAAGTAAATTACAATGCTAGTTGCATTAAACTGATAGGTTTGATTAAAGAAGATATTAGAGACTTGCAATAAATGGAGTTTATTGTAGACAGTCAATCAGTAAGAAAGGGAGGATGTATGTTATGAATCTACATCAAGAATGACAATTTAAATATAGTAAATGGAGTCTAAAGCTCAGAAATGTTTATCATAGTCTTATTTCTTTATCTTATGGCCACTCTTCTGTCTTTTCTGTAATAAATAAAATGTAAACTTCAATGGTTTTAACTAAAATTTTATCAGTAATCACATTTACAGAGCAAAAAAATGGGAAAGCTTACACTTAACATAAAATGTTAAACAGTTAACACTGAACAGTATGATTAGACTAATAAACATGTATAACAATTTATAATTAGATATTTAAACATTAAGTACAAATTCAAAACACTGGTTAATATAGCTCACTTGTTGTCATGTATATCTGCATAATACTCCTTCCTTTCAGAATGGCTACTCTGATTTTATTCCCCTATCTCCAAATTGCATATATATACGGGGACATGGCTTCACAAAGAGTGATTATAGTTTAGTGAAACAGTGAGCATAAAGACTTGTTTTCAAAAAATTGACATTTATCAAACAACTAGATTTTTATAATACCAAAAGTAGTTTACTAGCTGTTCCAACCACATTTATCACAGACTTCATCTTATAAATGAGCAAACTCTTATTCATAGCCTACTTTCAAACATATTAGTCAAGTGTAGGTTTTAGTTGCATTATCAGCAAAAAAAGACATTATTCCAAGCTACATATTTATTTTAGGAATTAAAGTGCTTAATAGTAGGGATCAACAAGGATTCCAAATAATTTACAGGGCAAAAACCACCCTATTGAATTCTTAAGCAAAAAACCGACCATTCAAAGTTTGGGTTACAGTATATTATGCACATATATACCAATAATACACTAAAATGTTGCTAACATATTTGGTATAACAATTCAAAAATTCCTAAAAGAGCAACTCTTTTATCTATTACCTACCTACCTACCTGATCACATCAGCAGAGCTAGCACCTAGATGGCTTGGACTATCGCTACAAGATTCCTCCAGCTTACTCAATTGGTCTACAGGTATATATATATATATATATATATATATGCATATACAGATATATATTAAATAGATACTAATATACATAGACATA